CATTTGACTTCACAATTATTCATGTACATTGAATGAAACTCTACATCATAGAGCCAATAGTGTACCTGGAAATGAGAAAAAATGAAAGGGAATTGAGGTCAGCTAGGCAGCCACAGGATACAGCAGCAAAATGAGATTAATTTCAGGACCAAGTAATATTATAGCACCATGAGAGTAACAGAGAAATAACAGCAACAATTGGAGTGATTTGAACCAAAATAATCTTCACAACACCCCGGTAACACATCATAGAAATGCAGCACCCAGTAAATGACCAAAAACAAACTGATTGAACTCCAAAACTACTCGAAATCAAACCAGCAGACCTCTGGAACTACGACAAACAGAAACTGAACTAGGAAATGTAAATCAATAGCCCAAAAGTTTAAATTCACCTAAGGTTTCAATGGAACAGTATTTCTTTTTGGTTTTTCTAGAGGTTTTCTATTGTTTTTGGGTTTTTGAATGTTGAATTTCAAAATCAGATCTGAAACATAGAGAGCACCTTTTGGGGGAATTTTTGGAGCTAAAAACTTCCGCATTAAGGCACTAAGGCTGCCTTTTATAGGCATAAGGGAGGGCAGCCTTGAAACCTTCTATTTACACTATTGATCCCTCTTTTTTATTCATTTTTATCAGGCAGTCCTTTATTTCCTGACTTGTGCCTCAAGTTAGTATACCTATCTTTTGCTATTTACCTTAAAATCCCCATCTAGAAACTTCCAGTAGGTTCTAATTCATTCCACTTGTAGGATTTACCATTTGAACTCCCTACTTTGCCCTTACCATTTCCCCTGAATTACCCCTGAATTATCCAATGAAGCCAACTGACCCCAGTCCCCTTATCCATGATTATCTAACAAATAACTATAGCTAACTAACAAGATTTAGCAGCCCAAACAAACGACAAAGTAATCCACTGTGAAACACGAGATTAAACTAATATCAACTCATCACTCAACTAATAAACAAGAATCAAATGAACTACAATCTAATGGATGAACAATTAAGCCCAAATTAGATCACAAAATTAGAACAAAATCAAAAAATGGGAATTAACCTAGACAATAAACACTACGAGAACAGATTAACTCATCGAAATTACCTAAATATTTACTACCTAAACATCATACCTAAACATTTAAACTAACAATAACAGACAAAATCAGATTGACATTTAAACTAGACTATCAATTGAAATTATGAAGAACTTAAAATAATTTTTATTTATCAGCAAAAACACGAATCAAACTAATAAAAACCAAAACTAAAGAAAAATAAAAAATAAAAAGAGAAGAGACACTCACTGATCTGAATCCCCAAAACAGACTCGAACCTCATGAACCCTAGATCAACAATTCGACAAGTTCCGGTGGTATTTGAGCTCCAATGACGCTGAAATCCTTATGAGGAAGAGGAGGGGATCACATGATATTGATTTGGAGTGGTTTGGGGCAATTAGGGTTTTGGCCGAAAAACTTCAAATCGATATTCGAGAAGTTCCGGCCATATTCGAGGGTCAGGGCCTTGGGGGTTCGATAGAGGACAGGGAGGCGGTCTTATGGTGTAATTTTGGTGGTGAACGGAGAGAGTTATGTGGTGGCCGGAAAATCTTTGACCCAAGATTCGACACATTTTGCCGGGATTTGAGGGAAACGAGTGGTGGATTCGTAAAGGGGAGGGAAAGGGGAACCAGGGGTGTAATTTTGACGACGTTTGGAGGTGGGCCGCCGCCATGGACGATTTTCGGCGGCGGCGTTACACAAGGTCTCTGAGGGGTGTGTTTGGGACGATGATGGGGGGGGGGGGGGGGGTAGGCTTATCCGACCATTTTATATCAAGCTTAACCTAGTTCCGAGGCGTTGGATCAAGTATCCTCGACAGCTCAGATCTAATAGAACTAAACGACGTCATTTTGGGACGGGGAAGGCTGGACCGGGTAGGAGACGAGTTTGGGCTGATCTTGGCCGGATCTTGGGGGTTTTAAATTGGGCTGGAATTAGAAATGGCCCAAGTTGCACACCAGCCTATTTAATCTTTTAAATTCTCAATTTATTTGTTTTTCTTCTTTTCTTTTTGTATTTTATTTACTTATTTATTTTCATTTTGTATTTTATGTTTTCTAACTTTATTAAAATGCAAAATCAAAGACCCACTTTGTTTCCAAAATTAAAATAATTAATTCCTAAAACTCTATTAAATCCTATTTAAAGCAAACCCATGACAAATTCAACAATTAACAATTAAAAATGCAAAAATGGACTATTTATATTATCTTCTTTAAATTTTGTTCTAAAAACAGCTTAACCACTAAATATCCTAAGATATGAAATTAGATCCTAAATGCAAATGTCATGTGTATATTTTTATAAAATGCAAACAATAACACAAAACTCACAAAAGTGTAAAATAATGAAAGAAAAATTATTTTGTTTGAATTTTTGGGAGTAATTCATATAGGGCAAAAATCAGTGCTCACAATGTGTATGAAGAAAGGATGAAGTTCGTCCACGACAAAAAGATCTTGAAGAAGGAGTTCAAGTCGAGTGACTTGGTTCTGCTATTTAAGTCAAGGACCAAATTGTTTCTAGGCAAGCTCAAATCGAAATGGTCCGGTCCGTTCAAGGTGGTCAATATCTCTCCTTTTGGAGCTGTGGAATTAGAATTGGAGGATAGGCTCTGAACCTTCATAATGAACGGTCAGCAAGTCAAGCACTACTTGGGCACAGATGGAGAAAAACATTTGGTGGAGCAGTTGGCTCTCAAAGATGGTCCATGCCCGACCAATGAGTGAATCCTAAGAAACACCAACATCGTCGTGCCGCGACATTAGATCAAGCGCTTCATGGAAGGCAAACCATGTGTGGTAACACCCTTTTTGGCCTTTAAATTTTAAATTAATGCTAGATAGATTTAATTGAGCAATTTAAAGTGTGTGTTAGAGTGCAGGGGATTCAAAAGATCATAACACTGGGTAAGATTGCATGAGAAAGGGAAGAAAAATCACCTTGGGAAGTTTGCTACACATATGCGGTAGCATTTTCACTATGCGGACCTCATTATGGTCACAAACCCAGACAGTAGGTTTGGCTAAAATTGGTGACAAAAATGCGACAGGGTGGTGCACTTTGCGGACCGCATATCCACTATGCGATCGCATAGTGCACCACATTTTTGGCCCTCCAGCAACTTAATTGAATACACCGCATAACACTTATGTGGTCGCATAGTGTGTTATGCGGTGACATACCCATCGTAATTCTCCCAGGTAAGTCCCTCGCATCCCTTCGGCTTTCACACGTTCAAAACACAAGATTTTTTTTTTATCAAAACCAAAACAAAACAAAACAAAACAAAAAGGGGGAAAACGAGAAAAGGCAAAACGGATCGTGAACCAATAACACAAGGCAACATCTCTAAAATCATCTCCTACGTGTGCTCATTAATCCGTCACTAGTACGTTTTCATTGTCCCAATTCCATCCTTGCAAGTGTTATTTTCACATTTGTTTTCGTCTCCCCCATTTTTGTTTCATGTTTCCGTTTTTCGTCTTGTTTGTGTTTTGTAGTTAGATATCTGTTCGTACTGTGATGGTATTGTTTTTTAGGAAGTATGCTTGGGTAATGGGTAGCCAAAACTAGGTCTGCCATTGTTATGGGTTGAATCCTAAGGTTCACAATGATGGGTTTTGCGGCTCGCATAATCAAATTGCGGTCCGCATTTCTGCCGCATAAGTCAACCCTAGTTGGCTGAAGAAGATGACAAAATTCGGCGACTTTGTGATCGCATAATCGATATGCGAACCGCAAAGTCACCGCATACTGAGACAGTAGACCCAATTTTATATCATGCTGATTGTGGCCAATTTGCGATCGCAAATCCAACTTTGTGATGGATTTTGCGATCGGTTATGTGTTCGGCATAATGGTTATGCGATCGCATAACCCATTGCATACTTAGATCCTTCCAATAGTCTGAACGTTTGCGACAAGTTTGCGGTCCTCATAGTGGTTATGCGATCGCATAACCTGTCGCAGACTTACATTTTTTTTAGTTTTTTTGTTTTCTTTTCATTTTTGCCTACCATGTTGCTCACATTTCACTTCTGTGCAGATATGGCTCCCAAGAAACATATAGCCTCTGCTCAAAAAAGGGCCTCCTTCTGTCGTCAAGCATCACAAGCAAAATGTCCATGACCGGACACTTATGTTCCACTTCCCCTCCCAGTCTGATGAGGAGGATACCTTGCCCTCTGTTGACCTACAAGCTGAGGCAAGAAGGAAAAGCGGAGATGACTTCCAGCTTAGATTTGGGGTCGAAGGTTCCAGGGCACTATATAGAGAAGGGCTTACCAAACAAAAAATCCTGGCCGAAAAACAACTGAGTTTCAATGGGCTACAGGAGCAGTACCCCCACATATGGGAGAACCTCAAAGCAAGAAAATGGGAGTGCTTCACTGAGCTGCCTAATGACTATAATGAGACTTTTGTCGTGAGTTTTATGCCTCGTATGGAGCCTCCAGGACTGCTCACCACAAGCGCAATAGGGTTTTCTGTGACACTGTATTGGTTCGGGGGAAGAGTGTGTTCTGCAGCAGTGAGACGATGAATGAGCTTTACTTCCCTGGCTGGAGACCAGGCACATCTGAGCATGCTGCCAAATGGGCAAATCGGGAAAATAAGCGTAGTTGGATAGCTTCTGTGATATCCAAGGGGACCCTTGCTTGGATCAACCTTGTGCACAAAATATACAAGGAGGATCTCACACGAGAGGGTCAATTTTGGCTTAGTTTTGTCACCTCTCGACTGATACCGTCCAGAAATGAGACTGACATAGGCATTGAGAAAGCTCTTCTCATTGCATGTATTATGGCGGGTATCAAGATTGATGTGGGTGCTCTTATTTTTTGAGAGATAGGGATCCGGGCAAAGCAGCACGCCACTTCACTTCCATTCCCCTGCTTGATCACAACCCTCTGTAAGGCCGTGAATGTCCCTACCATGCAACACACTGACAAGATAGGGAAGGCGCTGAAGGATATTGATATCACGTGCATTAATGATGCTGTTGCTCCCCTAGAGGTTCAGGCTCAAGCTCGAGTTGATGTGGAGCCCTCAGATTCCCAGATTCCTGTGTCCCCTCAGGCTACAGCTGCATCCACTTCCACTTCACAGCCCACCTCCCAGTCTACCATTGCTCAGCCTTCTGCTGCACAGCCAGCCATCTCGAGGCTTGTTCTATTAGTTCAGCATGCCAAAGCTAAGGTAGACCAGCTTTTGAAGAACTTGCCCACCCTCATCAAGAAAGCTTTGACTCTGATACAATCCTCAGTGACTGCATTCCAACAGCAACAAGCAGCTTATGGGGATCGCCTGCAACATCTTGAAATGAGGGTAGAGTAGATAGAGCGGGGTGAGGTTAGTGACTTGCCAAAGCTCCGGGAGGAAGTTTCCACTATGAATACTGAACTCCACAAAATGCAGACTCTAGAGTTCGATCTATTATCCTTCCTGCCCAAGGAATGTGAGGAGGGAGCAGACACAACAGCACCTGACCTGGATCTTGACTTCTCCACTCTGATGTCAGATATTGCACCTCCCACTGTCGGGGCTTCCCAGCCTCCAGCTCCTCCTGCATATATTGAGATTTCTTCTAAGGAGGATTTCGGGCACTCTACAGAGTCTGAGGGTGAGGAGGCGGACGAGGGAGAGGATGATGAGGATTCATGGTCCGAGGAGGATGAAGGCCATCAGGAGAAGGGTAAGCGGATTGCTGTTCCTAAAGTTGAGGACGAGGAACAAGCAGCAATTCAGGTAGCAATAGAACATTCGCTAGCAGACACGGCCGCCCCCGCAGATCCGTCGGCCACTCAGCCATCAGAAGGAGAGGCTAGCAGTTCACAAGCCCCGGCTCCAGTATTGGGTCAGCCAGAGATCCCTCCTCCATTAGTGGAGGTCACTCCTCAGGCTGAGATCTTATCGGTCCCAACTTCAGCATCAGAGGGTGACCCCACTATCACTAAGTCGGCTTTCGACTCCCATAGCGCTTAGTGCGCTTCAGGGAGCCCCTAAACTCTTTTTACGTTCTTATGCATTGGGGACAATGCATGCTTTTTAGTTGGGGGTGGTAGCCTTGTATATATTTTTGTGAAATTGGCAACTATTGTACATGTTTATGTTTTTGTGCTTTAGAAGCAAACTTCTTTATTTATTTGTGTTTTGTGATTCTGTATATATTGGTGTTTTGTGGTTTTAGGACATAAGTTATCCTTGTGTATAAAAAAACAAGTAGATGGTTGCATGTCCATCTTTAGTAATTAGCAATAAATTCCCCTTGGTTTTTCTTCGTCGGGTTCTTTTCCAAGGGTGTAATAGTAGAATCAGGACAGTAGAATGAAGCATGTTGACCGGTTTGGTATAATTGTCTAGTTTCAAGCATGTGTGTTTGTATATAGCATATACCCTTCCATTAATATAAAAAAAAGAGATATCAACTGTGTGAACTTGAGGCTCGCTCTGTGACTCTATGTCTACCTAGAGTTATACCTGTATATATGATGAAATCTTTGAGTTGCCAAGTGTTGACTCGAGGGCTTCAAACTATGTGAGCCAAACAGTTCGTGTGCCATATGTGTGAGTCTTTCTGTAAATAATTCTTGTGTTTACTTCTGCCATGTAGACTTTACCCGGTTGGTTTTTCGATGCTTATAATAATTACATTTGGTTGGAGAAATGACCTTAAGCCGTATTTCTGATTTTTGGAAAACCAGTTAGCCTTTCAAGCCACCCATTGTACAGATAGTATCAGTAGTCACCCCATTTGAGCCTATAACCTTTTCTTTGGCTACCTCATTACAAACTTTTCCCTTTTTGTAAAATAAGTCCCTCTTTTGAACCCATCCCTCCTTGAACATTGAGAATGAGGATAAAAGCCTAAGTTGGGGGTGTGGTGTCAAGCCGAAAATTGGCAAGGTTGTGCAGTGAGTGTAGGAAAGTGTACCTCAAAATGTGAAACTACTCAAGCTCCAAAAGCAAAATAAAAAATAAAAAATAAAAAGAGAAAAGAAAAAAAATAAGAGTTGTGAGTATATATACATAAGGAGTCTTGAAGAGAATAAAAGAGGTAGTTGAGGTGGCTCAATGGTGGAAAAGTTGAAGCTAATGAGGGCTATGTGGTTTGAAAAGAAGCAAAGAGCAACAAGAAAGAAAAATGTGTGTAGTGTTCAAGGAGGGTGTAGTCACTTGTACCCAAATGCTTATCCAACCCTTCCCTAAACCTACATTACAAGCTTAAAGAGTCCTTATGGGATCTCCATCCGAACGTTCTTAGAATAAAGCGATGAATTAAAATAAGGGCAAGCCTATGGTATGGTATGTTATAACAGTTGAAACTCTTTTTGATAGTGAGTGTATTTGTGAATTCGTCCCTTTTTGTTGTCATTGTAAAAATAGTGAGTTTGGGACTTTCTTTCTAGTGAGGGCACATGAATTGTGAGGTTGGACAAAAGTTGAGTTTTTGAGTCAAATGCAAGTGCATTCAGCTAATGGTAACATTTTGTCAAATTGGTCGAGGCTCAAAGTTTCACATGTTGATTAGTTTCTTTGTAGATATTGATGATTCAGGAAGGGTAAACAATCGAAAGTGCATGCTTGTAGTGCTGACAACGAACACCATCCACGGTCACTATTGTTTCATATCTTTTAGATGGAGTCTAGAATAGGATAGTGTTATTTTAGTTGCTTGAGGACAAGCATGAGTTTAAGTTGGGGGTGTTGATGTGCCAGAGAATTTTGGCACATTTAATACAAATTGCTTAGATTTTAGCTTGTTTTAAATGCAATTATCTTGTATACTTATGTAATTTTAGTGTATTTGCAGTGTATGAGGTTTAAGGACTTAAGATCATGAAAATTAAAAGAAAAATCCAAAAAAAGACAAGAAAAGAGCAAAATGCATCACAACTGTGGAAATGCGGACCACAAATCCAACATGCGGGCCGCATAATGCACAAGGAAATCGCAAAACACAACAGTTAGATGACCAAAGTCCAGTGCAAGAATGCGGTCTAATCTACGGTCGCATAACGCGTTTGCGAGCTGCATAATGGACCGCAAACTCATCATGAATGTTGCTAAAGGTAGAAAATGCGACGCGAAACGTGATCGCATATCTGCAATGCGGATCGCAAAACGTGAATGCGATGAAGGCCTGGAAACTAGGGTTTGAAAATGCGATGGCCATGTCAAGAATGCGAACCGCATGTCTGCTATGCGATAGATATGAGGTCACATATTTAACCGAAAAGGGTATTTTTGTCCGATTTTTGTCCCGAGTTTTGACCCACTATAAATAGATTTATTAGGTTTTTGTGGGGGCATCTTGTCTGATTTTGGGGCTACATTAGAAGGCTTTATTATTCCTCTCTTTTGGAAGCTTTTGAAGGAAGAATCTTGCACTTTGTAAGCTTTATGGCATTAAATATTCTCATCCTTTTGTATTTTAGTATGTGTAGCTAACTTTAAATACTAAGGTTGTGGATCCTAAATGAGTGTTATGTCAATGGGTGTTTAACATTGAATATATGTATAATGGTTGGTTAAAATTTGTTTATTTCTCATTCTTCATTTACTATTGGTGGTTGCAAACATTAACAAGTGCCATTAAATTCTTACTTTGCTTGGGAATGTGGGTTAGAATTTGGTAGAAGTAAATATCAAAGACTCAAGGCTTTAAACCTTGTTTAATAGATCGCTTAGGAATAAATGGCTTTTATTTGGCATATATTGATTGTTCTTAATTGCAACTCTTTTATATTTGGAAAAATCATAAAGAGGAAATACTACCCCACTATTGGAAAATATTGGGTAGTCATTTAGAAATCATTTGCATATCAAAAGAACCTTCCATTAGAAATATATCATATTAATACCGATAGCATTACACTTCATTGAAGGGACACAACCTTGGTTTCTTTAATCAAATTAATTACATTCTCAATATCACAATTAGTTATTTCATCAAATCACAATCATGCCATACTCTTGTTACCATTAACCGGATAGAATTACGACTTAAGTCGAGTGACACCTATTCCCGGTGGGATTCGACCCCAACCTCGTAGGATTACTATATTTGACACCGACCGCCTTACACTATTAAATTAAAGTGTAATTTGAGCGTATCAATACTCCCACCCAAGACCATTAGAATATCTCTATTGAATTTAGTTAATCTCTACTGAATGCTTCTTTCGAGGTTCAATCCCTGGTGGTTGGGGCAACAAATTAAAGTAGTTAAATGGAGCAAGCTAGTCAACAAACACATGTTGAAATTTCTACCAATAAGTAGAAACTTTGTATCTTTAATAATGTTCTCTAAAATATATACCTTGTTATCTTAAAATTGAATGTCACATACTGAAATTACAGTTATAAGTTTCATTACCACGAGATTTTCATTATGTGTTCCTTTTAGATCATCTGATTTTTACTAAAGAACAATTACAATTGTGTACAAATTTAGGGGAACAAGTTGAATAGGATAACATATTCTATTCTCAAAGCTAACATAGTAAAACAAACACTCAACTCTTTGGCCCACTAGATCTCTGAGAAATACACAAAATACAAAAGAATCAGGTAAACTAAATATCCGATTGCAACATGGTTTGGACAATGCTATTAATGTAGAACTGCATAGTCGTGTAGGCTACCCTGTCCCACAATACATGCTGACTTGCCCACTACGCACTATTAGCCGCCTAACAGCAGTAACCTTTAAGTATCTTGTTACGGGCCATAGGCAAACACTGCCTCCAATGACATAGTCCAGCATCATAGGTCGCACTTGAAGACATAGGACAACGACATAGGTCACTCTCAACGATTAGGCCAACGACATAGACCACGTCCAATGAGATATGATAGCGACGGGATCAACCGCGTGACAAGTACAATTGCACCTTTCCTGGAGTTGACCCCATACATAAATCATGCCATGCAAAACATGAAAAAAAATGTATGATGACATAAACGAGGCCATGCTTTTAGGTTTACGTTTAGCTTGCCAATACCTGGAGGAATATGCAGCCGCGCATCGTGTACCATGCACTAGTGCACCATACACCCACACAAGACAATTAGCATATCTCTATTAAACTTTTTTAATCTCTACTAAATGCTTCTGTCAAGGTTCGATCCCTGGTGGTTGGGGCATCAAATTAAAGTAGTTAAATGGAGCAAGCTAGTCAACAAACACAAGTTGAAATTTCTACCAATAAGTAGAAACTTTGCATCTTCAATAATGTTCTCTAACATATATACCTTGTANCATATATACCTTGTAATCTTAAAAACTGAAATTTCAAATATTGAAATTAAAGTTGTAAGTTTCATTACCACGAGACTTTCATTATGTAGTCCTTTTAGATCGTCTTATTTTTACTAAAGAAGAATTACAAGTGTGCACAAATTTAGGGGAACAAATTGAATAGGATAACATACGCTATTCTCAAAATTGACATAGTAAAATCATCTTTGAACTCTGTTTCCCACTATATCTCTGAGAAATACACAAAATACAAAAAGACTCAGGTAAAAAAAATATTCGATTCCAGCATGGTTTGGGCAATGCTATTAATGTAGAACTGCATGATCGTGTAGGCTACCCTGTCCCACACTACATGCTGACTTGCCAACTACGCACTATTTGCCGCCTAACAGTAGTAACCTTTAAGTATCTTGCTACGGTCCATAGGCATAGACTGCCTCCAACGACATAGTCCAACATCAAAGGTCGCACCTGAAGACATACGACAACGACATAGGTCACTCTCAATGATTAGGCCAGTGACGTACACCACGTCCAATGAGATATGCTAGCGACGGTATCAACCACGTGACACGTACAATTGCACCTTTCTTCGAGTTGGCCACATACATAAATCATGCCATGCAAACATGAAAAGAATGTATGATGCCATGAACAAGACCATGCTTTTAGGAATATGTTAGCCCTACCAATACCTGGAGGAGTACGCAGCCGCGCATCG